AACAATCCCTTCCCAATATCCCATCTATCCCTGCCCTCTGGTAGCAGGAAGCCATTCTCCATTTCCTCTTGTCCAGACAAAAGCCCTGGGGCTGGGACAGTGGGTGCAGGTCTTGAGTTGGGTTTTGGGCTGGGTACCAGATCCATCAATACCTCTGGGCTAAGCTGGTCTCTCTCCCCTGCCAGGCATTAAGAACTGTGACCCCAAAGGCCCCCTGATGATGTACATCTCCAAAATGGTGCCAACCTCTGACAAGGGACGCTTCTACGCTTTCGGCCGTGTCTTCTCTGGTCTCGTCTCTACTGGCTTGAAAGTCAGAATCATGGGACCAAACTACACCCCTGGCAAGAAGGAGGATCTGTACCTGAAGCCAATTCAAAGGTGCGTCCTGGCTGGGGTGTTGAGGGGTTCTGGTGCTGTCTCAGGTCTCTTCTCGTGTCTGAGGCCTGTCAAGGTGCTTGGCTATGGGCTCAGTGGGATCTCAGCCCCTTCCCAACCTCACTAACCCACCTTTCCCTGCAGGACCATTCTCATGATGGGCCGCTACGTGGAGCCCATCGAGGACGTGCCTTGTGGAAACATCGTGGGGCTGGTTGGTGTGGACCAGTTCCTGGTGAAGACTGGAACCATCACCACCTTCGAGCACGCCCACAACATGAGGGTGATGAAGTTCAGCGTCAGCCCCGTGGTGCGCGTGGCCGTGGAGGCCAAGAACCCGGCTGACCTGCCCAAGCTGGTGGAGGGGCTGAAGCGCCTGGCCAAGTCTGACCCCATGGTGCAGGTGAGTGGGTAATTCAGGAATGGATCCAGGGGTGCTGCCTCCACTCCTGGGGAAGTATTGAGTTGGGTGTTGGTCCCTGGCTTGGTGCGGTGGGGAGAACATCTAGAGCTCTGTGGGTCAAAAACAAAAAACACAGAGTTGCTGGTGTTTGTGGCTGTGGCTCGTTCTGAAGCTTCACCTGCTGTTCCTGCTGTTCCCAGTGCATCATTGAGGAGTCTGGGGAGCACATCATCGCTGGCGCCGGGGAGCTGCACCTGGAGATCTGCCTGAAGGACCTGGAGGAGGACCACGCCTGCATCCCCATTAAGGTAGAGAGGCTGAGCGCTGGCTGAGCTCAGGGTTGGGGATTTATCCAGCTGTGGTTCCTCACACCCCCCCTGTCCCGCAGAAATCGGATCCCGTGGTGTCGTACCGCGAGACGGTGAGCGAGGAGTCCAATGTGATGTGCCTTTCCAAGTCCCCCAACAAACACAACCGGCTGTACATGAAGGCGCGGCCCTTCCCCGACGGGCTGGCCGAGGACATCGACAAGGGCGAGGTGTCGGCGCGCCAGGAGCTGAAGCAGCGGGCGCGGTACCTGGCCGAGAAGTACGAGTGGGACGTCACCGAGGCCAGGAAGATCTGGTGCTTTGGGCCCGACGGCACCGGCCCCAACATCCTCACCGACATCACCAAGGGAGTGCAGTACCTCAACGAGATCAAGGACAGCGTGGTGGCCGGCTTCCAGTGGGCCACCAAGGAGGTGAGGCACGGTGTCTTGGTCTGGGTGGCATCCGTGGTTCTACACTTCCTTATTTTTTTAGTGTTTCTCATGAAACAAAGTGTAATATCTGGACAGGCCAATGAATAACACAGCTGGCTTCAGGAGGAAAGATGCTCTGAGGGTCTTTGCTTTATCTAGCAGTTATTTTCAGGATTAGACAGGACTGCAGGGTAAATTGACAAACTGGGAACAGCAACAGGAAGGATTCATTTTCCTGTTTACCATTCAGTTTCGGTCTGAGGGATATTTCAGGCCAGCAACTTCTGTGACATTACTGAGACAAAAAAAAAATTTCCCTTGGCCAAATACTTGGGTTTCAGCACCATAAATGTGTGACCGCTCTTGTGGCTTTAACCTCAGAGCTGATCACGAGGATGCTGCAGTCTGGCACAGGGCTGGGAGCTGGTGCCGCTTAAGTTGGGAAAGGTCTCCCAGAGTCCAACCTTTGTAGGTCTGAAGGTTCATCCCTCAGCAGGGAGATCGAGTGGCGCCTGGGTGGGCTTGCTGCTCAAGGAGCTGCTTCCTACAAAGGTTTGAAGGTTCATCCCTCACCAGGGAGGTCGAGTGACTCTTGGGTGGGTTTGCTGCTCAAGGAGCTGCTTCCACAGAGCTCCTGTGAGCCAGGGGAGCAGCACCCATGTGGCCGTGCCCAGGCTGGTGACGTGTGCCCCCGTTGTGCCCTGGCAGGGGGTGCTGTGTGAGGAGAACATGCGCGCCGTGCGTTTCGACGTGCACGACGTGACCCTGCACGCCGACGCCATCCACCGCGGCGGCGGCCAGATCATCCCCACGGCGCGGCGCTGCCTCTACGCCTGCGTGCTGACCGCCCAGCCCCGCCTCATGGAGCCCATCTACCTGGTGGAGATCCAGGTGAGCAGCCCTAGTGGGATATTCACCAATATCACACGTGGGACCTGCCTCGGCTTGGCTGGCCCTGGGTGCTGAACCACCCCGCAGACACTTTTGGCTGGCTGGGTGTGTGGTGTTTCTCCCCACAGACACTTTTGGCCAGGTGGGTGTGTGGTGTTTCACCCCACAGACACTTTGGGCTGGCTGGGTGTGTGGTGTTTCTCCCCACAGACACTTTTGGCCAGGTGGGTGTGTGGTGTTTCACCCCACAGACACTTTGGGCTGGCTGGGTGTGTGGTGTTTCACCCCACAGACACTTTTGGCTGGTTGGGTGCTGCAGCTGGACGCTTGGAGACAAGTCCAGGCTTTCAGGAGCTCTGGTGGTGCTGGGATGGAGCCTCCTCCATGGAGGTTCTGCTCCTCAGGTTTTCCTCTGTGGAGAAGCTTTAAGGCAATGGTGGAGGAAAGGAGTCGGTTCTGATGGAGGGTTTGGATCCAGAGCTTTATTCTGGGCTCTGAATGCAGCACCAGCTCCAACAGAACTCCCTGAGCCCGTGGTTGCTGCTCCTTTGAACACCGAGGGAAGGGGTAGGGAGCCACCAAGCAGGGACAGGAGGGGAGGGACAAAGGGACAAAGGACACCTGGATGGCCCAGTGGCCCCCAGGGGTAGAGGGCATCCTTTGAATCTGCCCAATCCCTTCTGGAATTCCAGGACTGACAGACAGTGCTGGGCAGGGGTCAGGATGGGGAAGGGAGAGGTGACTGACACACCTGGGAGGGAATTTTTGAGGGAGGGACCCAGGTTCTGAGGTAAACCCTGAAATCACAATACACCCCAGCCCCTGGCAGCCCTCAGGGAAGGGGGGACAGCAGCTGGGTGCAGTCCTGACCCCAGTCTGTCTCTCCTGCAGTGCCCTGAGCAGGTGGTGGGAGGCATCTATGGAGTGCTGAACAGGAAACGTGGCCACGTGTTTGAGGAGACCCAGGTGGCCGGGACCCCCATGTTCGTGGTCAAGGCCTACCTGCCTGTCAACGAGTCCTTTGGTGAGTCCTGGGGCCATCCTGGGAGGGACAGCCCTGGGCAGGGCCTCAGGAGATCCTTGGGTTGAGCTGTCCACCCAGCACTGAGCCGTGTCCCCAGGTGCCACATCCACACAGACGGGGACTCCAGCCCTGCCCTGGGCAGCCGTGCCAGGCTTGACCATCCTTCTGGGAAAAAACTTAACCTAGAAATCTCCAGCCCTCCCTTGGTACAGCTTAGGGGTGTTCCCTCTCATCCTGTCACTTGTTGTCTGGGAGAAGGGACCAAGGCTGCAGGACATTTTGGGTTGGAAGGGACATTTCAAGGTGTTTCAGTGCCACCCCTGCCATGGGCAGGGACACCTTCCACTATCCCTGGCCTTGGACATGTCCAGGGATCCAAGGGCAGCCACAGCTGCTCTGGGAATTCATCCCAGCCCTTCCCAGCCAGCAATCCCTTCCCAATATCCCATCTATCCCTGCCCACCGGCAGTGGGAATCCATTCCCTGTGTCCTGTCCTTCCATATGCTTGTCCAAAGTCCCTCTCCAGTTTTAGACTTTGGAATGGTCTCTAAGTTCTTCCTGGTGCCTTCTTTCCATTCCCACCTCCCGTTGGTTGGGATCTCAGGAGGCTTTTGAGAGCTGCTCAGGGTTCCTCCATGGAAAGGAAGAAAGTTCTATCCATGGACGCAACATTGAACTTCAACCACTCCTGTCCCACCTCACCTTTTGTCTTGTCCCTCGCAGGTTTCACAGCAGATCTGAGGTCCAACACGGGTGGCCAGGCCTTCCCCCAGTGTGTCTTTGACCACTGGCAGATCCTGCCCGGGGACCCCTTCGACAGTACCACCAGACCAGCCCAGGTGGTGGCCGAGACCCGCAAGCGCAAAGGGCTCAAGGAAGGAATCCCTGCCCTCGACAACTTCCTGGACAAACTCTAATGACACTCATGGAACTCTGGGAGAGCAGGAAAAGTTTAATTAATTAGCGTTACCACCCATGCCGCCAGGGGCTAGACGCCTGTGACCACCATCTTGTTAATTAAATGGGTTTCATAGCGATTTTGAGAACTTCAAATGAGGAAAACAAAAAGAAAAAAAAACGCCTTATAGGTTTCTGTGTTGCACATGACTCATCTTTGCCATTGTAACTAAAACATTTCCACTAGATCTGCCCAATTCTGTATTTATTTGACTCAAAAAAAAAAAAATACTGCTGCAGAATGGCCTGGAAGGGAGTGGGGGCGTGCTTAAAGAGGACAAGGAAAATGGGGGGAAAGAGAGAGGGGGTGAGAATGCCTTATCTGCAGCGTGACTGTCCGTCGTGCCCATCGCCGCCTGTATTAGTGCCACTGGAATTAATAAAATTGGATAAATGGTGACGAAAAGTGAATTTTTTGGGGGTTTTTAAGGGTGAGGGTGGCGCCCTCTGGTGGGAGTGAGGGGGAGGTGCTACCTTGGCCACGCCCACCCGCGAGCCTCGGGGCGGGGCCTCTGCCGGGGAGTGGGCGGGGCTTGGATGAATGGGGGTGCTGCGATGTGGGCGGGGCTTCATGCGGAGGTGGGCGTGGATGGTGTAGGAGGGGGCGGGGCCTGCTGTGCTGGAATGTGGCGGCGGCGACGCGGGCGGCGGCGGCCCAGGTTGGGAACGGGGGCCGGTGCTGATGAGGGGTCCGTGAGGGGCCGTGTGGGACCGGGAGGGGTCGTGCGGGTACGAGAGGGGTGATGGACGGAGGCTGCGTGGCGTGGGGAGCGAGGGATGGCGCGGGGAGCGGTGCGTGCGGGTTGTGAGGCCTGTGGGGCGGGGTGGGGAAGGAAAGGGAGGAATGGGGGGGCTGTGGGTGTGGGGGCTGTGGGGCTGGGAGGGGCTGCGGGTCGGGAAAGGGGTGGAGAGGGATTGGGGGGGCTGTGGGATGGGGAGGGGCGGTGTGGGAGCGGATTGGGAGGGGCTGGAAAAGGAGGGGTAGGGATTGGGATGGGGAGGGATTGGGGGCTGTGGGTGTGAGAGGGGCTCTGGGGAATTGGGGTGCAGAGGGGCTGTGGGACAGGGAAGGGATGTGCCGGGATCGGGAGCTGAGTGGGTCTGGGGGCTGTGGGGCAGGAAGGGTCAGCGGAGGGGAAATGGGCCAGGAAAGGGATGAGGATTGGGTGGACAGCGGGTGTGGGGCCTGTGGAGCAGGGAGAGGCTGTGATCCCCTTCCCTTCTCTATCCCCGGGGTTTTGGGGTGTGGTGAGACCGGGGAATGAGCCCGTGGTTCTGCCGCCCGGCCCGGGGCTGTGCATCCCCCGGGATCGCTGTGCTGGGTGTCGGTGTGATCTCCGGGACTCAGCCCCCCTATTCCCGGTGCTGATCCCTGGTTGTCGGTGTGATCTCCCGGGACTCAGCCCCCTATTCCCGGTGCTGATCCCTGGTTGTCGGTGTGATCTCCCGGGACTCAGCCCCCCTATTCCCGGTGCTGGTCTGTGGGTATCAGTGTGAGCTCCGGGACTCAGCCCCCCTATTCCCGGTGCTGATCCCTGGTTGTCGGTGTGAGCTCCGGGACTCAGCCCCCCTTCTCCCGGTGCCACAGGTGCTGATCCCCGGCTGCTCCCGCTCCTGACACCCAGCGCTGGCAGCGGCGGGGCGGCTCCCGCTCCGAGGGCCCCGCAGCCATGTCCACCTTCCGCCAGGAGAGCGTGGAGGATTTCTATGAGATGGGAGAAGAGCTGGGCAGGTGAGGCTCATCCCGCTGCCTTCTCGGGGGTCTCCATGGCTGCAGCCCTGCCGGGAGCTCCGCTGGATCCGCCCGCTGGGTCCCCCGGTGTCCCTGTGCCCCTCCGCAGGCAGCAGGGCCGGGGCTGTGCGCAGTCAGGCATCTCTGGCAGATGGAGATTTTTTTAAAAGCGTTAATTAACGTTGCTCCCGGTGGAGCTCCGGTCCGGGGCTGGCGGCTTCCGGCTCTCCTCGCCTGGCCCCGCGCCTGTGGGAGGGATCCAGGGTGACTCAGAGCCCGCAGATGGGATTTAATCAGCCGGGATGCAGAGGCGGCGCTGGGGGAGTCGCCTGCCTCGGGATCCTGCAGCGCTGCCTCGGCCGTGGCCCCTCCTCGGGCACTGGGGCAGCAAAAGCGTTCTGGGTCACTTAAGTGGGTTTTTATCAAAGCAGAGGAACTTCCAGGAGTTACTCCGGGTTCTTTTGCCTCTCTGTGGCTGGGGTTGTTTGTGTGCCATGGGGAGGGATGTGGTGGCCATGGCTGGACCCACTCTGCCCCCCAGGGCTGTGTCCCTGGCCACGATCCTGGGCTGTATAAAGGTGTAAAGGAGTCTCCCTTGCCATGATTCAGGGATGGATAAAGAAGTCTCCCTGACCATGATTCCGGGATATACAGAGGTGTAAAGGAGTCTCAGGTCCAGGTGCAGTCTCTCTGATTTCAGGCATTTTCCCTCTACCTGCTTTCTCCATCAGGGCTTTGGGGTCTCCCGGGACCACTGGGCTCTGGGGTTTGCTCCAGGAGTGGGTGGGCATCCCCAGATCCCAGCTCATGGCACTCCTGGGATGAAACCCTCATCCTGCAGTGCCCAGGCAGGCCGTGCTGAGCTCCCTCTCTCATGGCACTCCTGGGATGAAACCCTCATCGTGCAGTGCCCATCGTGCAGTGCCCATCGTGCAGTGCCCATCGTGCAGTGCCCATTGTGCAGTGCCCAGGCAGGCTGTGCTGAGCTCCCTCTCTCATGGCACTCCTGGGATGAAAGCTCATCCTGCAGTGCCCAGGCAGGCCGTGCTGAGCTCCCTCTCCCCGCAGCGGGCAGTTCGCCATCGTCAGGAAGTGCCGGGAGAGGAAGACGGGGCTGGAGTACGCGGCCAAGTTCATCAAGAAGCGGCGGCTGTCGTCCAGCCGCAGGGGCGTGAGCCGCGAGGAGATCGAGCGCGAGGTGGACATCCTGCGCGAGATCCAGCACCCCAACATCATCACCCTGCACGACATCTTCGAGAACAAGACCGACGTGGTGCTCATCCTGGAGCTGGTGTCCGGCGGGGAGCTCTTCGACTTCCTGGCCGAGAAGGAGTCGCTGACGGAGGAGGAGGCCACGCAGTTCCTCAAGCAGATCCTGGACGGGGTGCACTACCTGCACTCCAAGCGCATCGCCCACTTCGACCTCAAGGTGAGCTCTGGGAGCTGCAGACACCCTGGGAGCAGGGATGGGCCCCGGGGGGGCTCTGGGAGCTGCAGACACCCCGTGTTCAGCACTGGAAGCAGGCATAAACTCCCAGGTGGGGTCTGGAAATCAGTGCTGAGGAGTGGGGGTGAGTGCACTCCTGCAGAGCAGTGGGGCTGGGGCCTGGGGTCTCATCCTCTCCTCTGGTTCTTGGGATCTCTCCCAGCTTGAGACACTCATCCTCCCCTCTGGTGTTTGGGATTTCCCTCAGTTTGAGGCACTCGTCCTCTCCTCTGCCTCTTGGGATCTCTCCCCATTTGAGGCACATCTCTCCACTGCTGTTTGGGATCTCTCCCAGCTTGAGCCACTCATCCTGTCCTCTGGAATGAGGAGCCCAGGGCAGCTCCCCCAGGCTGCTGTGTAGGCACAGCCCCAGCTCCTCTCCCCCCACAGCCAGAGAACATCATGCTGCTGGACAAGAACGTGCCAAACCCTCGCATCAAACTCATCGACTTCGGGATCGCCCACAAGATCGAGGCTGGCAATGAGTTCAAGAACATCTTTGGGACCCCAGAGTTTGTAGGTGAGCATTCCTGGGGGCTCCTCGGGGTACTGAAAGCTTTGGATTAACCCTGGAGAGACACCCAGCACTGCGGTGCTGCTGCCAGGATGTGTCCATGGGGCCAGGCTCCCTTCCCCCACAATAAATCCATTTTCTCCCCTTTCCTCCTAAAGCCCCAGAAATTGTGAACTACGAGCCCCTGGGGCTGGAGGCCGACATGTGGTGAGTGATTCCCCTCCTGAGCCCCTTCCACGGCTCCAGCAGCCAAACCCCTGGTGCCAAAAGCTCTGTGGGACTTCATCCTCCTCTCCCTCTCTCTTCCAGGAGCATCGGGGTCATCACCTACATCCTGTGAGTATGAGGCAGCTCTGGAGGGGACAGGGCTGCAGGATGAGCCCCCCCACCTCGGGCTGGAGCCTTTTTGGGGTGTCCCAACCCACTCTCTCCTCAGGCTGAGCGGAGCCTCCCCGTTCCTGGGGGAGACAAAGCAGGAGACGCTGACCAACATCTCTGCTGTCAACTACGACTTCGATGAGGAATATTTCAGCAACACCAGCGAGCTGGCCAAGGACTTCATCCGCCGCCTGCTGGTCAAGGACCCCAAGTGAGGGACAGGGAGCAGAGCTGGGGTGTCTCTGGGAGAGGGGACAGTCCCCCCTGGCCACCCTGCTGTGCACAGGCAGCTCCCTCTCTCCTGCCTGGCCAGGGTGGGGTGAATCTGGGATCACCCCGAGGGTGCAGGAGCTCCACTGGGGTTTGGGAGGGTTTGAGCTGGGCCCCCAGGGCTCTGGGTTTGGGAAGGAGCAGTGGGGACAGGAGGTTCCCACCGGATCCTCTGCCTGTTTCTCTTGGGAGGCAGTTTGAGGGGTCGGGGGCTGGATGCAGCTCCTGCCTGGGGTGCCCTGAGTGCAGCAAGGCTCAATCACAGGATCCAAGCTGCTTTTGCAGGGCTGTAACAGGGAGAGAGGAGCAGAGCCTCTGCCCTGATCCCAGCCTTGCTGTGCTTGCAGGAAGCGAATGACCATCGCCCAGAGCCTGGAGCACCCTTGGATTAAGGTGAGAAGTCAAAGAATCGGCATTTTTGGGTGCCTGACCCCCCGAGGCCGGGGCTCTGCTGCTCCCCCAGCCCTGTGGGGACCGGTTTGGTGTCACTGCCTGTGACACCGCTGCAGCCACCGCTGTCCCCGCCGCAGGTGATCAAGAGGAGGAACGTGCGCAACGAGGACAGCGGCAAGAAGCCCGAGCGGCGCCGGCTGAAGACCACGCGCCTCAAGGAGTACACCATCAAATCCCACTCCAGCATGCCCCCCAACAACACCTACATCAACTTCGAGCGCTTCTCCAAGGTCATGGAGGAGGTGGCTGCGGCCGAGGAGAGCCTCCGAGAGCTGGGCAGGAACAAGAAGTCCTTCCAGGAGGACATCGAGGCGCTGCTGTCCATCTACGAGGAGAAGGAGTCGTGGTACAAAGAGGAGAACGAGAGCATCAGCCAGGACCTGCGGCAGATCCGGCAGGAGCTGCACAAGACGGAGGCGCTGAAGAAGCAGGCGCAGGAGGAGACCAAGAGCGTGGTGCAGGCGGCCAACGGGCTCAAGCGGCGCTACCGCAAGCTGGAGAACCACTACGAGGCCCTGGCCAAGCAGGTGGCCTCGGAGATGAAGTTCGTGCAGGAGCTGGTGTGGTCCATCGAGAGGGAGAAGCTGCAGAGCAGCGAGGGCGACGGCAGCATCCGCTAACCCTGCTCAGCCCCGGGGGCTGCGCTGCTCCCCGGTGCCCCTGCTCCTCCCTGGGGCTGCACTGCTCCCCATTCCCTCTGCTCCTCCCTGGGGCTGGGGCTGCTCCCAGTGCCCCTGCTCCTCCCTGGGGCTGCACTGCTCCCCATTCCCTCTGCTCCTCCCTGGGGCTGGGGCTGCTCCCAGTGCCCCTGCTCACCCCCAGTGCCCCTGCCCATCCCCAGGGGCTGCTCCCAGTGCCCCTGCTCACCCCCGGTGCCCCTGCCCATCCCCAGGGGCTGCTCCAAGTGCCCCTGCTCACCCCCGGTGCCTCTGCTCACCTCCTGGGGCTGGGGCTGCTCCCTGGTGCCCCTGCTCACCCCCGGTGCCCCTGCTCACCCCCGGGCAGTGCCCCAGCTCGGTGTTAAGGGGGGGGTTTGTGCCTCCCTGGAGCCCCTCCTCGTGGTGCTGGGGCTGTGCCACGTGCAGCTCCTGCCTGGCTCCTGTCCCTGCACTCCCCCGGACGTTTGTCCCCCCCTGTCACCCGGGTCCCCGTGCTGCCCCAGTGCCCCGTGGTGGGGTTGGTGGGCAGAGCTCCCCTCTGCACTGCAGCAGCAGCAGCAGCCACGCACGGGCTGGGACCAAGGACTGATCCCTGCGTGGCCTCACGCTCCGCAGCCCCCCTGCACCCCACATTCCCCCCAGGCTGCTGCACCCCTTGTCCCCCTGTCCCAGCCCTGGCTCCCCCTTTTCCCACAATAAAGGTTTCTGTCTAGTGGGGTGGCTGCCTCAGCTCCTGCCATGGAGGGACAGGGCTTGGGAGGGAGATCAGGATGAGCCCTGTGGTGACAACTCCGCCACTGTGCTCCCATCCCAGAGGGACTTCCTTAATTTGGGGAGAAAATGCATTTTATTCCTTGTGAAACCCAGTGCTGGTGGGTGAGCTCGCTGTGGGCATGGAGGGAGGTCTGGGGGTGCTTTGTGGGGTGTTCCCAGGCTGGGGGAGTCCCCAGCTCCTCTTGCCTGAGATCCCTCACTCCTGGGGACAGGGGGAGCCAGGTCCCAAAGCGTTCTCACGTTCCAGAGAACACCAGGGCAGGGAGCACGTTTCCCCGGGAGCACCGCGGGCTTCCCGACTGCCTGCGGCCCCTGGAGCCCAGCTCCAGCAGAATTTGATCCGGGGAATCACCAGCCAAATGCCAAATGCCAGCGCATGGCAGGCATCCCCCTGGCTGGCCAGGGCGGCTCCACCTCCAGCTCAGCCCCAGGCCCAGGGGATTTGCTCCATTTAGGGTTTATTTGTCACTCCTCTGTGTCCCCTATGTCTCCCTGGGGATCAGGAGGGCTGTGCCCCCTGTCCCTGTCCCTGCTGACGTCCCAGCAGGTGCAGGTTTCACCCCCATGCACGGGACACGTGGAGCTGTGATCATTTAATCTGCCCTGGTGTTCCCTGCCAAGGCTCTTGGCTCCCAGGGGAGGTGACGTGTCCAGGGCTGTCCCAGTGTCCAGCAGGGCCACCAGCCCTGGCCACGTGAGTGAGGGGACACCTGGGGGCTCAGGGTGCCCATCCAGGCCCTGTGTGTGGGGCTGGTGCAGCCGCAGCTCTGCAGGGGCAGTGGGTGAAAGGATGTGTGGAAATGCCATAGCCCCGGCTGTTCCCGGGCTGGGCAAAGGGCACATAGTGAGAAACATTTCCTGCATTCTCCTCCTGCCCAGGCTTTGGGTTTCACCCTCCCAAAAGGCTCCTGGAAGTCACCGGTCACTCACCCCGGCCCCGGAGCAGCAGGGGGATCTCACTCACGTGGGTGCACGGAATGACACCAGAATAGCTCTAAAATAGCAGAATTTGGGGGGTGATTCATGATGGCACAAATCTCCTCCTCCTGAGGCCCGCAGGAACGGGCTGTGCTGCCCCTGGGGGTTCCAGCACTGTGACATTCTGCTCCAGTCCCCTCTCAGCAGCTGGAGCTGCCACCCCGCCCTGACGTTTCCCCTCTGTGGACAGACACCAAAATTCCTTTTTTAGGCTCCCATTTCTGCTTCCCAGAGTTTGGCAGGAGATGGGAGCGAGGGCTTTTCCCTTATAAGTCTTCCCAAACCCCAAACGCTTCTGAGCACTTCAACCAACCGGTGCAGGCAGAGGAAACCCCAGGGCTGCATCCCCTGGGCTGTGCTGAGCTCTGGGCAGGGCTCACAGCAGTGTCCCTGCCTGGGGACAGTGCCATCACTGTGGGGTGGTGTCCCCACATCCCTTTCTGGCCCTGCCATCCCTGCCTGGGACAACAGGGAAACCATCGGGGTGGGACGAGGACAAGGAGAGGGATCTGGCTCCCCTCGGGCTGCTGAAAGCCCCCCTTGGTGGGTTTTTGGGTTATTAACTAAAATTAAATTAATGAATTAAAAGCAGCTGCTTTTCCAGAGCGGTTTTTAATTCAGGCCCCAAAATCTTGTATGGGCAGGCCCCACACACATTCAGGGATGGCACTGCCTGGCACTGCCCTCTCAGGCTGAAATCTGGATGCTGTTTTACCTTTAACACCTGAAATGGTTTAGGGAAGCACAGTTCTCATTTCTCTTCAGGGATGGCACTGCCCTCTCTCTCAGGCTGAAATCTGGATGCTGCTTTACCTTTAACACCTGAAATGTCTCCAAGGGAAGCACAGTTCTCATTTCTCATTCCCTGAGAAATCCCCCAGTTCACCTCATGGTTTAAATTCACAAACTGAGCCATTCCCACCTGGCTGGGCCATGTGAGCACCCAAACCCAAGCAGTGACACGAGGAAGGAGCTTTGAGGATTTCCAAACACCCAGGAAAAAGGGGCTGCTGTTGTGTTCTGGGTGAGCTTCACACCCATTTTATTGCAACAAAGCTGAGTGATGAATTAAACCAGGGCCTCAGAAGGAGACTGAAGTGGATTTTTACTGAGTTGGTGATGTTACAAACAAGCCTTGCACGAAGCCTTTCTGTCTGCAGCAGCTCTCTTTGTTTTCCCAGCACAGCTCTACTTGCTCTGCTATAAAAATGCTGTTTCCAGCTTCTCTGTAAGCCAGCAGAATATAAAATAATTAAAAAATAAAGCCCACCCAGGCCATCCTGTCCATGTGGTGGGAATAAGTTATCCTCAGTTTTCAATTATATACAGAAGGGACTTGCCAAAGGGCAGTGGGAGAGGAGTTCACACAAATCCCCACTCCCACTTCCCAGTATTATTTACATCGCTGTACACGGATCTTCGGGGTCCTCCCAACCCTGGAAAGGTGAAGGGAAAAAGGGTGAGCCCCAAACTGTGAAATTCCCCGAACAATCCCTCACCCTCCACCCTCTGCAGTTTAATTAATTACCTATGAGCAATTTAGGAGCTTGTTGTGAATGTCTTCAAACACTTGGTTGTAGAGTTCATCCCTGGACTTCAGGCCATCTAAATAAACTGGGAGAGAAAAGGGGGAGTCAGGCTGGGCTTCCCATCAGGATAAGATTTTAGGGGATTGATTTTTAAATATTTCATATTTTAGTGACCCAAAAGACAACTTGGAGAAACAGAACCATCCTGAAAATATAATGGCCTGTGAAATGCTTATCCATTATAAATCCCTTCTTTTGCTTTTGGACTTTTTTGTCCCCTCTGAGTCTTTAAGGGTACATTGCAAAGGGGAGAAGTTCTTAGCTCTGAAACTGCCAGCATTTATCCAAAGCAGGCCAGGATTACAACTTGGGAGTAAAAATATCCCCCTGCGTCATCCCAGTGGAAGTCTCCTGGAATGAAATCACCCAATTCCTGAAATCCCAGTGCCAGGAGTGAAGGGTTTGTGTCTGGGGAACACTCACCCACATCCACCCCCGAGTCCTCCATCTCCTTCCTGTGTTTGAGGTACATGGGCCACACGTGGCCGTCGAACAGGCCCGGGGGGTCGGGCACGGTGTAATTCCGTGTACTGCAATTAATTACATGGAGAAGGAATTAATTCATTCAGGGAGGGGGCCTGGGTGCAGCCGGGGTGTTGGGAAAATGAATTCTCATGGAAAGGGCTGTGAGGGATCAGCACAGGCTGCCCAGGCAGTGCTGGAGTGCCCATGGCTGTGTTTGGGCACCTGGGGACGTGGTCAGTGGCGAGGGGTTCATGGCTGGGCTCCATCTCAGGTCCTCTCCAAGCCCAGCCCGTCAGTCCAAGCTGACCACATCCAACTCCCTTCCTCCCCTTCTGGTCAAACTTCCCACTCTAATCCAGCTCATGGCACCAACACATCCCAGAACTGTGAATGTCCATCCCTGGCAGTGCCCAAGGCCAGCCTGGGGTGCTGGGAGGTGTCCCTGCCATGGCAGGGTTGGCATCAGATGATCTTTAAGGTCCTTCCAACCCCAACCCCTCCATGATTCCATAGGATCACCTTTAAGGACCTCCCAACCCCTCCATGATTCCATAGGATCATTTTTAAGGACCTCCCAACCCCTCCATCATTCCATAGGATCACCTTTAAGGACCTTCCAAACCCTCCATGATTTCATGAGATGACCTCTAAGGACCTTTAAGGTCCTTCCAACCCCAGCCCCTCCATCATTTCATGAGATGACCTTTAAGGACCTTCCAACCCCTCCATGATTTCATGAGATGGCCTTAAAGGACCTTCAAGGTCCTTCCAACCCCAGCCCATCCATGATTTCATGAGATCATCTTTAAGGACCTTTAAGGTCCTTCCAACCCCAACCCCTCCATGAGATGACATTCAAGGACCTTCAAGGTCCTTCCAACCCCAGCCCCTCCAGGCCTCCATGGCCCAGAGCAGTGTGAAGGACAGGAGGGCAGGGCTGGATGCCCACCCAGGGATGTTCTCACCTCCTCCTCCTCTTGCACTCCTCGTAGGGCACTGCCAGGTAGTAGCGAAGGTCAAAGAGCTCGATCAGAGGTCTGGGGAGGGGACAGGGACAGAACGTGGAGATGTCACTTTTAATGACAGCAAAAAGCATGAAATCAGCCCAGACACCACAGAAATCTCTCTGCCTCTATGGGGTTTGTGTCTGTTGAAGAAACCCAAGGGTTTGTTAACTCACAACCACGTAAAGCTCCTTTCTGAAGGGCAGAATGGCCCAAGCAGGGACTTTTCCCACCCAAACAGCCCCACTGGTCCTGAGGGGGATCAGAGGGGATCCTGTGGAGGATCAGGCTGGGAACCCTGGCTCTTCCTACATCATTCCAAAATCAGCTTGCAGCAAAATCCGGGACAGGGCAACTCCTCAACTCACGTTCATGGAACTGTCCAAGGGCAGGCTGGATGGGCTTTAAGGTCCCTTCCAAACCCTTCTGGGATTCCATGGTTCTCCACAAACACCCAGGAGCTGTCTCTGCCCCACTTGCTCCTCAGTGCAGTCAGTGTTACACAAGCACAGCAGAGAGCTGTTCCTGAATTCCAGCAGATTCCAGGCAGGGAATGGATTATTGCCTTGCTCTTTGGGGGGATGAGGGGAAACCTGCAAAACTCCTGCTCTGAAACTCCCCTGGAGTTCAAGGCTCTGCCCTAAATCAGAACTTAAATTCACCTCACTTCTACATTTAGGAGTTAATTTTACATTTTTCAGCAGGAAACTCTCCGGGCTGAGAATTCAGAACAAGGCAGGAAGGCGAAATCAGTAAAAAGGAACTTTTAGCTCTGGCACGAGGGATTTAAGGATCTTCCCTGGCAAACCATGAAGAGTTCTCCAAACCTTACTTGTAATTATAGAGCAGGAAGCCTTCAATGACCAATATATGGATATCTTGGGAGGCTGGCTCTCTAGAGCCAGGTGTGACATTCACCCCGTGCGAGCGGGCAAACTTCACTGGGTTCTCAATCCAGGCCCGCACTGTGCTCACCAGGGCCTCCATGTCCAGGGAATCCAGCACTGCTCAGGAGAAAGGGGTGGGTGGGAAAAAGGGACACCATCAAACACCATCACCCACCACGGGCTCCAAAGAATAAAACAGATTGAGCTCGGTAAAGTTACAATTACGGAAATTTACTGTTAAAGCTTTTTATAGCAAAAAAAAAGAAAAAAAAAAGAAATACTTAGGAAAAGAATATACATTACTGCATCCTATAGGGAACACTGCTCTTACCATCCCACTGCTTAAAGCCGTCTTCCCCGACTTCTATTTGATCTTGTGGCTGAAATATAGTGAGCAATAAAACATTGCTGCAACCTCAGCGGGATCAGTTCCCTCCGATGCCATCGGCACCTGGCACCGCTGCCACACAACCACCCCTGGCACTGCCAGCCACAGCCCCAGCTGGGCCTGCAGGGACAGCTACAGCCCCAGCCCCAACTGGGAGGCTCCCTTGGCTCACTCAAACCACTCTGGATAAAGATTTTTATGTTAATCGGTGAAATACTACAGGGTGTTGTTTGTAAATCACACAGGAGTTTTAAAGTGCTGATACAGTTAAATAAGTGTTAGAATGTATGGTTTTTTTAGAGTAGGTATTTGAACTCCTCTACTAAAAATGCAGGTAGGTATGGCAGCACTTTGGTTGCTCAGTTACTGCTTTCCTCGTGCTGGCATTCACTCAAAAGAGAAGTTACAGATTTTTATGGAAAATCAAACAGAATGCCTCCCCCAAGGGCTCCTAAGTGATCAAATCTGTGCAGCACAGACTGAGCACACCATGCTGGGGCTGGAGCAATTCATGTTTTGGGGATGATCCACAAGTGCTCCAAATCCATCCCTGCATCTCTTGGACTTCCATGTGTGGTGGGGTCCAGGGACGTCCTCATTCCCATGAAATGTGCAGGGTTTAGGAACACTCTGCACTCCCTGGCAGAAGTCTTCTGCATTAATCTCTGCGATATTTTAATTAGGTTCTAATACAGATCTATCAAAGTTCCCCCATAAAACCCCCTTTCCATATTTAAACCAGCACAGAGGTGGTTAAGTCCTAGATCACAATTAACCAATCTCATTCTTAATTTTATAAAATAACATGGGAATCCCAATATGGAGAAAATCATTCATGCAGAGCACAGTAAATAACCTCTGCCTGAATTCAGTACTAAATTTAAATCGGTTGTTAACATTTAAAGGCTCCTGTGGCATTTATAAAGGTCAGGAACTCCCCATCTGCCCAGTCATTTAAAAATCAAATAAATATATATATAAAAACCCCCACAAAACCAGAAAGCTTGTGACTCCTAAGCTGTCAAAACTGACTTGCCCTGCATGTACAATTAACACTGCAAGGAAGAGGAGACTCACCTTGAAGAAATCATCCTGATGGACCACGCAGCAGTTGGGCAGCGCCTTGACGAGCCTGTTGGTCAAGGTGGTTTTGCCACCATTGGTGACCCTGCAGGGAGCGGGGCGAGACGGAGGTGGAAGAATCGCATTAGAACCCCGGAGCCCCGCGGCGGGACAGACACCGATAAGGAGCCGAGCCCTGAGGGATCCGAACCCCGCCCGGCAGCCCCTGAGGGGACCCGGGCACGGACCCTGCGAGATCCGAACCCCGCCCGGCGGCGGGAGCCCCTGAGGGGACCCGGGAACGGACCCTGAAGGAGCCCCTGGGGGGACCCCGGCATTGACCCTCAGGGTCCCCATCCCCTCTCGCGCCCCCCGTTTGAATTTCCCGCCCCTCCCGCGCCGCTCGCCGATTGGCTGCGACTCCAGCCCCACCTTTTCCCCGGCTGCCGATTGGCTGTGGCCGCCCCTCCCGGTCCCGCCCCTTTCCAGAACCCGCGCGCGCGCGCGCTCGGCCGCGTGTAACGGCCCCGCCGGTTCCCGCGCGCGCGCAACGGAGGCGCTGTGGGGGAGCGCGCGCGCGCGGCCCGCCATGGCCGGTCCCTCACAGCCCGGGTTCCTGAGGGGCCGCCATGGCTGGTCCCTCACAGTCCGCACACCTGAGGGGCCGCCATGGCCGGTCCTTCACAATCCAGGCTCCTGAGGGAGCGGTGCCGCCATGGCCAGTCCCTCACAGCCCGGGCTCCTGAGGCAACGGGGCCCCCATGGCCGGTCCCTCACAGCCGCAGCCCCGCTGCTCAAGATGGAGCGGCCTCGCTGCCCTCACACGCCCCATAAACCGTTTAATATAAAAGCCCTAAATAACTTAACTATTCCTCCCTTTTTTTTAAACCTGAGGCGGTATAAATCCCTCGGTCGCATATTATTAATATATTATTCTAATAACCCGTATTACCCTTCACTGTTCCATTTCCGGAACTCCCGCCGCACTCTCACCCCGTCCCAGCACGAGCACACTTTAAATCCTGCTTTTTAAAATTAAAATCAATGCCCTTTTAGACACCAACACCCCATTTTATTAGAAATGGGATTTTCCCCCTCTTCGTCTTTCAGAGAAAATTTTAAAATAATTTTCTTGGTCTATCTGGCCTCTAAATTTACTTGAGTGTTTTTGCCATCTCAGCATCTCTCCTGTTAAAACTATAAAAGGATAAATAAAACTGTGGATGAAAGTATCTCCAAAAATATATAAACGTATAAGTATAACATTTGTATATAAAAATATGTAGATAACACAAATAAGTATATAAAATGTATATAAAGTGTATATAGATAAGTCTGTATGAAAGGATGTGCTGCTCTCCGTTGAAGCAGCATCCATCCTTTAAATCCTATAAAATATATAAAAGGATATATTAAATAAAAGGACGTCTAAAAGTACATATTAAGATATAAATTAAAGAATATATAAAAGTGGATGTCTTTAAAGTGTGTCTTAAATAGACCCTGCTGTATTTAAGCCCCACGAATTAGCACTCATCAAGTTGCATCATCTCTCAAATCCTATATCCCGAATATCCTCACATATCTCAAATCCTATTTCCCACATACTAAACCAGAAATATCCCAAAAATTAAACCAGGAAAAACATAAAATAAGCCAGATTTTGGCAGACTCTTACCCTCCGATGCCTATAATATATTTCATTTTGCCGAGTCGCCTCTTGAGCCGGAATGTGGCGAGGGAGGAGGGGCGGGGGGAAATAAAATCGGGAAGGCTGAGAGAACTTAAAGCGGAACAAAACCCGCGCTGTCCCTTCTCCTTTTTATTCCGCTGGCTCTGCTCTGCCTCCCCGAGCTTTTCATTGAGGAAAAGGCGCTCTTGGGGCGGATTTATAGGGCCGTGTCCCCGCCCCGGAGGAGCCCTGTGACCGTCATGAGCCGCGATGTCACGTTCGGGGCAGGGCCGGCCAAGCCTCAATGTCACTTTTTGGGGGGGTTCAACACTCAATGTCACATTTAGGGGGATTTAACCCCTCAGTGTCACTTTTTGAGGGGGTTGAATCCCCCAATGTCGCATTTTGGAAGCATTCAACCCCTCAGTGTCACATGGTGGGGGGGGGGGGTTCAGCCCCTCAATGTCACTTTTTGGGGGGGTTCAACACTCAATGTCACATTTAGGGGGATTTAACCCCTCAGTGTCACTTTTTGAGGGGGTTCAACCTCCCAGTGTCACATTTTGGGGGATTTAACCCCTCAATATCACATTTTGGGGGGTTTCAACCCCTCAATGTCACATTTTGGGGGGATTCAGCCCCTCAATGTCACATTTTGGGGGGTTTAACCCCTCAATGTCACATTTTGTGGGGGTTCAACCCCCGCAGTGTCACATTTTAAGGGAGTTTTAAAACCCTCAATGTCGTATTTTGGGGGGGTTGAATCCCCCAATGTCACATTTTGGAGGTGGTTCACCCCCCCAATGTCACATTTAGTGGGGGTTTAACCCCTCAATGTCACATTTTGGGGGAGTTAAACCCCTCAGTGTCACATTTTAGGGGGCTTTAACCACCAAATGTCACATTTTGGGGGGGTTCAACCTGAATGTGTCATATTTTAGAGGGTTTTAACCCTCAAATGTCACATTTTGGGGGGGTCCAGCCCACCTCCAGTGTCACATTTTAGGGGCTTTTCCACACACCCCTCAGTGTCCCATTTTTAAGGTGCTCTACCCCACACTGCCCCAATTTAGGAAGATTTCAGCAAACCCTTCAAGCCACACTTTGTGCTCTTCCAACCCTCTAATTCCACATTTTTTGGTGGGGGGGGGGAAAGAGAGTCTTCAACCCCTTCAAAAATCCCATTTTTGTTGGAATTCCACCCCGCAATGTCCCATTTTGGGTGAATTTCAGCCCACCCTGCAATGTCCCCTTTTCGGGGGGCTCGTGCCACCCCCATGTCACACCCTGGCCCTGCACCTGTCCCTCTCCCTCGCTGGCCCCGTCGCCGTGGCGGCCAAAAATAACTTTTTGGCCAGCTCTTCCTTTTCCTAAATTAGTCATGGGGCAGGTGGAAATGTCACCCTGCCGCCAGCCCGGGGAGCCACAGAGGAAATCATTAAATTGGGATTTTTCCCTTGCTCTCTCCCCTCCTTTATTCCCCAGTTCCCCTCCTTTATTCCCCAAATATCTGATTATCTCAAACTCATCCAGGGAAGGAATTTTTCTCCAAACTCCTGGAATAAAAGGAGGAATTACATTTAAATTTTTTAACATTTTTTTTTCCCTTTTCAGTCCAGCTGTTCAGAGAAAGGAATGTGGAGTGAATCTTCCTGGAATGTCTCTTTACAAGGAGTTTATTTTTTGTAAATAGACACAAATTCCTAAACTATTATCTCTCCAGAGAGCCTCCTCCTCCCCAGTTAACTCACATAAAATAAAGCTTTTTAAGGTAAGTTAACTCTGCACCTTGTGGAACCTGTGCTTTAATTTGAATTATTCCAGATATTTCTTAATTAGGGTTCTCGGAGCAATGTCAGGCTTTCCAACAATATTTTTTGACGTTTATAATGTGAATTTTTAAATAATATCCTGCCTTGTTCTTCCTTGTTATAAAACCACAGTGTGGCAAGATTAAAAGGTCACTGTTAAAAATATTAAAGGTTCCTACAGTGAGCTGTAAAGGGATGGTAAAAAAATCAGTGACACCAAATTTGGGTATTTGGGGTCCTGTTTGACATTTTATCTTGGGGTCTTCAGCTTTTACAGTGTAAAATCCAAATATTCTGGATTCCAAGGGAAGTTTCTGAAGGAAATAAAATGTTTATATATATATAATTTTCCTCAAATTATTTTGACACCATTAACTTTTATTCAGACCTGCTCCTGAGCTGTGTTTAAGTTTAAATTTCCTCTCTCAGGCATGAAGAAGGTTTGTGGCTTCAAACCTCCTTTGTCTCAGCCCAGCTGTGTCCGTTGAGCTGAAATAAAAATAAAAAAATATTGTTTTTCTCTTCAAAGCTGTTTCTACTCCTCAGCCACCAGGCCAAGGCCAAGTGCTAAAATCGACTGCTCATGAATAAACATGAACTGCAAATTAGGGAAATTTTAACTGTCAGAGGTCACAGTTCTGGAGGTTTTACAGGGAAGATATTGAAGGCAAGAAAACAAATCAGGTTTAAGATAGTGAATTTAGGATGAATTTATGGATGGGAAAACAGCAAATGAGCTTTTCCAGTCTTAATTCCAGTGTTCCAATTGTTCTTATTGTGAGGGGAAATATTAATAAATAATAAATAATATTAATAAATAATAATTATATAACAATACTATTATATAAATGTATTACATAATATTATATATAATATCAGATAATATATAATGTTTTATATTGTATATTATAATATAAAATATATATTATATATCATATGATATATTATGTATTATATATTATATATTACATTATAGTATATAGTATATAGTATATAGTATATAGTATATAGTATATATATACCATATATACAATATATATATAGTATATACTATATAGTATATATCTATATATATAGTATATTATATATACTATATCGTATATATACTATATATACTATATACTATATACTATATAATATATAATATATAACATATAATATATAACATATAATGTATATAATGATATTATAATATATAAATATTATAATAGTATTATTTAATAATAAATATTAATAGTTAATTTTGTTGTTCCTTGCACTTTCAACATCAATTCCATGGTAAAATGATAATTCCAGAGAAATCTGGAGCTTGGATTCCTGAATTTGAACAAACCCAGGGAAGTTGAATTTCCAGCCTTGCTTGGCCATTGCAGGGTCTCCCCACATCACCCCCTCAGCTGACAAATGTAAAAAATGATAAATTATCCTCAAATTAGCTCCTACTCAAATTTTTTATTGCTTTTCTCACCCATCCCTGAAGCAGGAAGATGTCTGGGTCAAGAAACCCAACTCCAGCGATGATTTTACTGCATTTGACCTCATGGGAAGGGAAAAGGAAACCAAGAGGCTCCAAAATTGTGTCAAAGTTCTGAGGGGACACCGGACCCGGCCACCTCTGCTCCAGTTCTCTTTGCTCTGTAGACCTGCTGATCCAAATAGTTTTGGGAAATTCCATCCCAGTGGGTGAAATTTGTGTTTTTGAAATTTGTGTTTTTGAAATTTGGTCCCAGCTGGGTTTACCTGCAGGGCCGTGGCTGGGGAATACAGGTGAGGATTTTATCCTTGGGAAAAAATAAGGAGATTTTGGCCCAAAGTTGTATCAGAAGAAACAATGAATTTTTTGGTGTATGAAAAGAAACAATGAATTTTTAGTTCTGGAAGCAGAAAACAATCGGGGTGGGAGCAGCAGGAGCGGATTGTTTGGGATCAGGGAATCCGAGCAGTGTCCCATTATCTCCACAAGGAATTTCAACATTTCTGTTTCTCCTGGGAACGGGAGGATTGAAGGACACGGCTGTGGCTGCTCTTGGGGGTTTTAGGAGCTCAAACCCCATTCCTGTCAGTGTAAAACTCATTTCTTCTCATTTAAAAGCTCATTTAAAAGCTCCCTTTCCTCACTGTAAAAGCTCTTTTCTCCTCGGTGTAAAAGCTCTTTTCTCCTCGGTGTAAAAGCTATTTTCTCCTCAGTGTAAAAGCTCATTTAAAAGCCCCTTTCCCTCACTGTAAAAGCTCATTTTCCCTCACTGTAAAGGCTCATTTCTCCTCATTTAAAAGCTCCCTTCTTCTCAGGGTAAGGCTCATTTCTCCTCATTTAAAAGCTCATTTCTCCTCTCTGGAAAACCTCACTTGTCACTGTAAAACTCCTTTTCCTCAGTACAAAATATAATTTTGTGTATAATTTTTAAATTTTATAATTTTTAAACTCTTTTTTTTCCCCAGCCCCTCGGTGCTCCCCTTTCCCCAGTTTGTTTTCAGGGGTGATTTTTCTCTCTGCCCCGTTCCTGCTCACACCCCAGCCACGCTGGGAGCTGGAATCCACCCTCATAGCTGGAATTCCCAAATTCCTGCCTGGCCTGGGAGCTGCTGCTGTATTTGGAGATCCCATTCCAGCTGTCTCCTTCCTTCCTGCCCAGCAAAACCCACCTCAGCGCTGCCCAGCTGCAGCAAACTTCACCCAAACCATCAAAAAGTAAAGTAAAAAATATGAGTTATGCAAATGGCAATGCTCAGAAAGGCTTTTTTTAGCCCCCCTTGCTGGCGAGCTGCTCGTGGGTCATCTGAAAGTTCCTTTTTTTGGGGTTTGTTTGTGGCACAGATACGTTATCTGCCCGACACTTTACTCATACAAATGCCATTCAGCAGCGGGTCTGAATCAGAGACAGGCAATGTTCCCTCTCCCGGCGATATTTTTAGAATACTAATGTTTACTGAAGGCTCACATTAATATTCTTTGTTCAAACCTGGCTAAATTTAGCAGGAAGGGGTTTAATAATCCTGGAGCCACAGGGGAATGGTTCCCCTGGGATTGCTGAGTTCCTGGGCGCCCTTTCTGCCGCAGGATGTGACTCATTTCTTCTGCAGCTTTAATTCACAATTCTAATCCTCCTCTAATCATGAGACGCTGTTGATGGGATGAGCAAGGTTACACCAAGGTTCCTCCTGCCCGGAGGGGACGTCAGAGGCGAGAAATGGGAATTATTTTCACTTGGGATCGGTGAAGAGGCAAGAGATGGGAATTATTTTCACTT